GGCCATGCAAGTATCCATAGAGTTTTACATGCTGGTTGTCAAATACTTATATCAAAATCCAGGGTGGCGGGAGGTATTCGTGAAACTCCCGCCCGAAGAAAAGGCTAATTGAATTTATAATGACTTTCGCAATTTGTAGATGACATTGTATGTCCTAAGTGTTTGCCAACACTTTTGTATGCGCAAGTGGGCACTTGTCCTTTTATGGCTAAACCAAACTTCTGTTCAGCACCTTGATTTGAAAATTTCCCCAAATGTCTGCTACTGTATGAACTTATTCCTTGTGCTAGAGTTTTATGTGAGATTATATGTTTCATATGAGTTTTGGATTGTCATTAGAATTAAATATTGACTGTTATATTTTGCTAAGTAGTACAACAACTGTTAATTGTTGATCAATGTTTTACAAATGTGTAGGTTTAAATGGCGTCGTCTAGCCATACAGGAAGAAGACGACGGAATGCAGATGAGGAAGAAGACGACGGAATGCAGATGAGGAAGAAGACGACGGAATGCAGATGAGGAAGAAGAAATACTGACAGATATAACTATTGCACTATGCGGTGTTGCTGCGTTAGAAACAGCTGGGCTTCAACTACGACATACATCCATATTAACTGGTCATGAGTACATGTTGGAAGTACTCAATGGTAATGCTGACATGATCTTTGACAAGTGCCGCATTGACAAAGACTGTTTTACATACTTATGTTACATTTTGGCACAACAAGGGAAATTACGACCAACCAGGAGGACGAGTATGAAAGAACAAGTTATGATATTTTTGACAATCGTTGGTAAAAACGAGATAATCAGAACGATGATGGAAGATTTCCAACATTCAAGTGAGACGATCTCTAGATATGTTGGCTCAGTTTGCGAGGCAATATGTGAGTTGAAGACAGAGTTTATCAGGCCACCTGACTTCAGTGATGTTCCATGGGAAATATCAACCAACCAAAAATATTACTCTTTCTTTAAGGTACTTCTTCATTATGTTTTCTATTAGTGGATAGTTAAGTTCATTGTGTTATTAATGTTGATAGTCAGTTAATATGAGTAAAATTCAATTTTGATGATAGGATTGTATTGGAGCCATTAATGACACACATGTATACACTTCAGTTCCACAGGAATTTGGTGATAAGTACTGAAATCGCAAAGGAACATTGTCACAGAATGTAATGGTTGTATGTGACTTTAGGATGATGTTCACTTATGTCGTTACTGGATGGGAAGTATCTGCGGATGATTCAAGAGTTTTAAATTCAATTATTGGTAATCCTAATTCTGGATTCCCACATCCTCCACCAGGTATAATTATTTTCTTGACGTATTATAGCGTATTTTCTCCACTGTTGAGGCCCTAAATTTTTTAATAACATATGTGATTTTATTACAGGGAAATACTATTTGGTTGATGCAGGTTATCCAAATAGAGAGAGGTTCCTCGCCCCTCATAGGCGAGTGACTTACCATATTTCTGATCACCGTCGTAACCGAAGGGGGCCACAAGAGTTGTTTAACTACAGACATGCTTCACTCCACAATGTTGTTGAGAGAACCTTTGGTGTTTTAAAAAGATGGTTCCTTATTCGGAGTGGAATGAACAATTACCCGTTGGACAAACAAGGGAAGATTGTTATGGCATGTTGTGTACTTCATAATTTTATCAGAATGTACAATATGGAGGACCTTATCTTCAAACGGTATACTGAAAATATGGGTAATGAGCAAATATATTGTGATCACCAAAACGGGGCAGAAGATGACGGAAATGGAGAAGGACCGAGTCAAACGCAACAAGGTATTATAGACAACATGATGACTGTACGGGATAACATAACGACTGAACTGTGGGCAGCACATATGACCATGTCGTAGTTGTTAATGGAGTATAAATGTAACAACGATTCTAAGGGTTGATAATTAGTACCTTTGTTAGAGCATCTCCAATGGTACTCTTTATTTTAAAGAGCATCTTCATTGATTTTTAAATATAAAGAACAAAATTTTTATTCAAATCCAATAGACTCTTTAAATTTTAGGAGAGAGAATATGTTTTTTCAAGAAGAAAACTTAATAGGAGAGATAAATCATAAATAAAATGCATAGAAACTTGCAATTTATTATTTAAAATTAGGATAGAGAGTGAAATTTAACTCTCTAAATGTGGAGAGTCAAACTCACTCTTTAATTTATATTTAAAGAATAAAGAGTGTGTTGGACTCTTGTTTCTAAGGGTGGAAAAAACCGGTTAACCGAACCGGTTTATCCTATATTTGAACTGAACCGGATTCCGGTTTAAATAAAAAACCAAATCGAAACCGAACCGGTTTTTTACTTAAATCGGTTTGTAACCGAACCGAAAATTCGGTTCGGTTAATCAGTTTTAAACCAGTTTTTTAAAATGGTCTGGACCAGTTGGCCCAATTCAATAAAACCTTCAAATTTGGCCAAATTTACTATAGCTTGCCACTCACCCACTCCAAATGGTCTTTGATCGGACCAATAAAAGGGAGACCATATTTTTCCTAGAATTTTTTGGATTGGAGGTTGAGTGGCAGGTTGAGATGGTGAAACCAAAGACCAATAAAAGAAAGACCATAGTTTCCTAGGATTTTTTCGGATTGGAGGTTGAGATGGTGAAACCGTAGTTGATGGTGCTTATACAGATGGCTTATGGTTTTGATGGTGAAGTTTTATTTGGAGTATAGAACATTGGAGCTGAAGTTGTAGAGAAGAAAAAGATAGAAATGGTGGATGCGTATTTGTAGAGAGAGTGAGAGAGAGGGAGAGGAAGAGTGAGAGGAAGTTAATAAAAGAGAAAGTTTGAAAATGAGAAGGAGAGAGAGAGACGTATTTAATAAAAGTGAAAGATGAAGATTGAAGAGATCAAGGGAGAGAGAGAGAGGCATTTAATAAAAGAGTAAATGAAGAAATCGAGAAAGAGAGAGAGGCATTTAATAAGAGAAAAAAAGTGGAGAAATCGAGAAAAAGAAAGTGGTATAATACCGAGAAAGAGAGAAGGATTTAATAAAAGAATTTTTTTTAAAAAAAAAAAAAATCGGTTTAACAATTCGGTTTCGATTAATCGGTTTATGTTTTGACCGAACCGAATATTCGGTTTACCTATTATTGTAAACCGAAACCGAACCGAATCCCTAAAAAAAACCTAATTTTCGGTCCGGTTTCTGTACGGTTTTTCGGTTCGGTTTTCGGTTTTTTTTTCTCACCCCTACTTATTTCTATGGATAAACTTTTTATAATAAAGAATTTGGGTCATATAAATAGTCTTTTGGAGATGCTCTTATATATGTATTAATATGGTGTTTTTAAACAGTTGGATTAGCACTTGAAATTAATATGGGGTTTTTTTTTTTTAATATTTATTGGTTACAAAATTACTAATAAAATGTTTAATATTATTAAAATGTAAATTGAAAAGTTTTAAGGTTATAATAATATATTATTTTAACAAAATGCACCAAAATATTATATTAATAAATCATTTATAAAAAAATATATCAATCAAATATTCAACACAAGTAACGAGGTCAAAATACTCAATCAAACACATTTTATTCAAATCATATTCTCGTAATAATAACCATATTCAATTACCCAATATTATTTCTAAAATCTTATCTAAAATAACAAATCAAACATAACCTTAAATTTCAAAACGATTTGGATAAAATTTTTATTTTTTGTGTTTTTAAAATTATTCATTATTTGTTTAATATATTTTTCAAAGAGAATCATCAAAAGAGAGATTCTGATTGAATCTTTTTTTATTCTATTCGTGGTTATTTTTTCTCATATCCAAAATCCAAATAATTGCTACCTTACCTTCCTTGAGTTTAAGATGGATACCTTTCCATCCCACAAGTTTGAAAAAGCTCATCCTACCCCCTTAGTTTTTTAAGAAAACTATTACTCACTTTCTCGCCAAGTCATAACTGAAGGCAAAACATGATTGAATGCGGAATTTCAAGTTTGCCCTTTTGTTTGTATTTAAAAATCAAAAGAAAAATTCGATAACATGGCATGCTATATAATCAAACTTGAAACCTTTTAATTTATGAAATATTATAGATAGTTGACGAGTGATAAACATTTGTTTTTGGATTTGCAATATAAGCGTGAATGACCAAATTAACTTCAATGGTAACTAAGATCACTACTTGAATTAACAATAAAGTGACTTGCATTAGATATGATGGTGTTAGTGGTACACCTTCAATTGGTGTCTTTGAACAATGAAGTATGAAGTCTTTCCTTGCTCACGAAGTGCATGTAGCGTTTTCTAATGTTGGTTTTCCTTATAGATTGTATTGATGAACGAGTGAATCGTGATGGTGGTGTTGATGAAAAACACAAAACGTAGAAATAACTTATAATTTTTTTAAACTTATACATACAAAAATATATATTTTAACCCCCATTAGTTTCCTTTGTTTATGTTAAAACTTGTTTAATTCACCTTATCTACTGGTCAAAATAATTTATTTAAAGTTATACACGCTTTCAAATTTTTTTAAGTTATTTGATTGCATTTTAAAAGTGCTCGTAGAGGTTTAATAAACTATTTTTATGGTCTTATGAGAGAAACTCACCTTATAAGCTTTTTTTCAGTTTATTTATTGTGTTGAAATGTAAAAAAACATTGCTGTTCAATTTTATAGAACAACTATTCTTACATATTAAAGCAATTTTTAGTAAATTAAATTAGAAACCTTTTTTACATTTTTTTAACCAAACAACTATCAAAATCTTGAGAAAAACTCTTCTCAAGACTCAAATACATTCTTCTTTCATAAGCGCTATTCAAAGAAGCCTTACTAAATGGGCTAATCCACTAAGAATAAAGAAGAAACAGGGAGATAATTAGCAGTCGTTCAAATATAGGGGAGGATATTGACATTGCTATAACAAGGTAGGGGTCCAATGTAATAATTGAAACTCTACGGGACCTCACGTGTGAAGTCTTCCTCTAAAGCTAATAGCCACACAGACCTGGTTCGCTTTACATCACATCACATCATGTCTTCAGCTCCAAAGAATCTTTCCTCTTCTTCGTCTTCTTCAAAACCCCCAAAAATCCCCATCTCTCGAAACCCTAACCCTAATCCCAACCCTAAACCCAAACCCAGACCCGTGACGTTCTATCGAGAAGACATGGCTCTCGCACGCGCCTCCCACCTCACGCGCCACCAGCTCCTCCGCCGGCGAGCTTTCTTCCTCAGGCAACTCTCCCGGTGCTACAGAGACCACTACTGGGCTCTCATGGAGGAGCTCAAGATCCAGTACAAGCAGTACTACTGGAACTTCGGCGTCAGCCCCTTAAAAGAAATTAATAATAATAATAGTAATAATAATAATAATGATAATGATGATAAAAATATTGTAGAGGGTTCTGGTGAAAATGTTAATAATAATATTAGTAATAGCAGTGTGAATAATAATAATAATGGTAATAATAATAATAACTTAAATATTAATAATAATAATAGCAGGTGTTTGTTTGTGGGTTGCAAATTGAAGGCCATGGCTTTGACAAGCTTTTGTCATCTTCATATTCTCTCTGATTCTAAGCAGAAGCTCTACAAGCCTTGTGATTACGTCATCAAGAGGTATTTTTTATATTTAATTTTTTTTCTTTTTTCTTTAGGGTTTATTGGTTTGATTTTGAATTAATTACATAATTTTTAGGGTGTGCTTTTCATTTTTTTTGGAAATTTTCTGATTTGGTTTGGGGTGTAATTTGCAATTAATTAAAAGAGATGGGTGTTTCAAGTGGTTGTTTGTGTTAAAACATGCCATGCACTCATGCTGTTTGTGGGGAAGATTTGGGATGTAATTGCTTAATTCTTTAGTGGGTATTCAGTGTTTTTAAAATATGGGTATTTTTATATCAAAAGCTTTCTATTTCTTCCTTTTGGAAAATTTCTGATTGGTTATAGGGTTTATTTTGCAAATAATTAAAAGGGCTTGTTTGTGGGTGTTTATGTTGAATTACTAAATATTTTGGTATTCCATGAAGATTTTGGTGAAGATCTAGGACATAATTGCTTATTCAGTGGGAGATTGGTTCAATATTTGACATGGTTGCTTAATTCTTATGCGGGTATTAAAGGATTTTTAGAATATGAATATTTTGTTATGAAGTGCTTTCATTTTTTTATTCTTTTGTTTGTTCTGACTTGAGTTTGGGTTTATTTTGCAATTGATTAAAAGGGTTTGTTTTGGCGTTGGTGTTTGTATCAAACACCAAAATTATGGCATGCCATGCAGATTTAGGGTAAAATTTAGGTGTATGTTTTAAATTAGGAAAGAGTTAAAAGAGCCTTGATGTACAGTTACTAGGAATTGTGTCACGACCCTGTCCTCTACCTCGACCTTATCCTCGACCTCGAGCTATGTTGCTGATCAAGATTTAATCAAAAGAAAGAAAAAAAAAGGGACAGTATACTTTAAAGAACAAGTTTTGGAATTTTCTCTGATATCTTTGTTACTCATGATCTGTAGAATTTATAAACTTAAAAATATAAGCACGACTCAGCATCAGATACCTACTAATAGCAACTAAATAGCTATCAAATACCCAACTAAATAACTAAAGAGTGGATGGCTAAAGAGTAGCTCAAAATAGCCAAACTATAGCCCACTTTATAAATACATGTTGACCAACTCAACTTAAAGAAATAAAACATTTGACTGACTCTACTTACGATATATACAAGATGACTTAACAAGTAAAATAATGGAAATCTAAAGACCATAATGCCGACGCGTGACATTCCTTCCTTGTTGAAAAGGGTCCTTGTCCTTAAGGACTAGTAAAATCAGGAAACCTTGCTTTGAAAGAGTCTTCTTCTTCCCACGTAGCGTCTGTAGCTGGAAGACCTTGCCAGTGGATTAGTAATTCACGTTGACAGCCTCTCTGGCGACTATTCAAAATCGCTGTGGGATGAGGTTGCAGAAATCCTGAATCTTTTGACATAATCGGCAAGCTTGAGTCTACCGTATTTCGATTACTCAACTGCTTCTTAAGGAGGGAGACATGAAACACAAGATGAATCTTAGTTCTCGGAGGCAGGTCCAATCGACAAGCTACTGCACCAACTCGCTCCAACACCTGATAAGGCCCATAAAAATGTGGTGAAAGCTTTTGTGACCTACACAACACCAAAGAAGTTTGTCGATATGGCTGTAGGCACAGATATACCCAATCACCAACTGCGAATTCCCTCTCCATTTTGCCCTTATCATATGCAGGCTGCATTCTGGCTTGGGATTGTTGAAGTTGAGATCTTAAGTTGTGAAGAGTTTGATCTCTAGCTGGCAATGTTTGATCTACAACCTCAACCTTCGCTGTACTTGGGACATAAGTGAGTAAGTTGGGTGCTGATCTGCCATACACCGTTTCGAAGGGGGTTTTGCGAGTAAAAGCATGTAGGCTTGTGTTATAACAAAATTCAGCCCAAGGAAGCCAGTGCACCCATTCATGAGGTTTGGAACTTGTGAAACAACGTAGGTACATCTCCAAGGTTTGATTTACAGCTTCAGTTTGCCCGTCAGTTTGCGAATGATAAGACGAGCTATAGTTGAAACTAGTCCCCTGCAGAGTAAAAAGCTCCTTCCAAAAACAATCAAGAAAGTGGAGTCACGGTCACACACAATAGAGTTTGGCATACCATGAAGCTTGAATATATTTTCAAAAAATACTTGTGCCACTTTTGGTGCCGTGTAAGGATGTGCTAATGGGGTAAAGTGTGCATACTTGGAGAGCCAATCCATCACCATAAAGAGTACTGTTTTTCCCTTTGATGGGGGTAGTCCATCAATAAAATCCATAGAAATGTCAGTCCATACCTGTGTAGGGATGGGTAATGGGTGGAGAAGGCCAGCTGGAGTTTGGTGGTCAACTTTATGGTGTTGACAAATGTCACAGTGCTTGATGTAATCTGTTAGTGTCTTTTTCATGTTCTTCCAATAAAAAACTTCCTTTAGTCTGTGGAAAGTCTTGTGAAAACCTTTGTGCCCACTACCATGTATCCCTTGGAGAATGATAGGAATTAAGTTTGAATTTGAGGGTACGTAAATGCGATCCTTAAACAACATAATTCCATCCCGATTCTCCCGTGGTCCGATAGCCTCTCCCTGTACATGTAACTAATGGACTTTCCGCAACTCTAGGTGTGATTGGTTTTCAACTTTGATGGCCTCTAACCATTGTGGCAAAGGGCTAGAGATTGCATTAAGTTCCTCTCTTCTCGATAAAGCATATGCTGCCACATTGGTCTTCCCCTTCTTGTACTCAATGGAAACATCATAGCTCATCAACTTTATTAGCCATTTTTGTTGTGGCTCAGTTGTTATCCATTGCTGCCAAAGGAATTTGAGGCTTCGTTGATTGTTCGCACCACAAAATGATGTCCCAATAAATATGGTCGCCATTTTTTTACTGCTAAAACTAGTTCCATTAACTTATTCTCTTAGGTAGACATCAAAAGGCTCTTTCCCTTCAAGGCAATGCTGAAAAATGCAATCGGTCGTTGTTCTTGCGTAAGGATAGCTCCTAACCCATTTCCTGACGTATCACATTCTACTATGAACAAAAGATCAAAGTTGGGCAATGCTAATACTGGGCCCTAGGTCATGGAATGCTTCAACACCTGAAATGCTTTATTTGCATCTTGAGTCCGAGAGAAACCATCTTTTCGTAACATGGTTGTTAACGGTGCTGTAGTTTTTCCATAATCTGCAATAAACTTATGATAATAACCAATTAGTCCCAAAAAACCTCACAAAGCTTTGACAATAGTAGGTTTCAGCCAATCCACCATTGCTTTAATTTTCTCTGGATCCACCTTTACACCTTTTTCACAGATGATATGGCCCAAGTGTTTTACTTGGGTTTGACCGAATTGGTATTTCTCTTTTTTTACTGCCAGATGATGAGGTCTCGAAATAGAAAATGCAATTCTGACATGCTGCTCATGCTCAACCCAAGTACGGCTATAGATTAGGATATCATCAAAGAATACCAAAATAAATTTCCGTAAATGAGCTTTGAAAATTTCATTCATAAGATTGAAACGCAGAAGGAGCATTAGAGAGCCGAAAAGGCATTTCTAGGAATTCAAAGTGCCCATGGTGAGTTCAAAAGGCTGTTTTATAGACATCTCGAGAAGTCATACGAATCTGAAAATATCCAAATCAAAGATCAAGCTTTGTGAAGAATTTAGCACCACATAGATCATCCAATAGCTCATCAATAATTGGGATTGGGAATTTGTCCTTCACTGTCACTCGATTAGATTAAGTGCCTTGTAGTCCACACAAAACCTCCAGCTCCCATCATGTTTTCTCACCAACAGTACCGGAGAGGAAAATGGGCTTTGACTGGGTCGTATTATTCCTTGAGATAACATCTCCTCCACCATATGCTTAATTTCTTGTTTTTGGAAGTGAGGATAACGATATGGACGAACACAAACTGGACCTACTCCAGGTTGTAGGGGAATATTATGATCATGAGTGTGTGGTGGTGGTAACCTTGTGGGTGCCTAAAACAAATCACCAAACTCGGTCAGCAAGGAATCAAATTCAACACTGGATGTTACCTCAGAACTTGTGTCTACTGTCTGACTTGGTTGGGTGGCATAAACTTGCAATAAAAATGCTTGGCCATGACTTTGCCTCAGAGTCTTAGGAATGATTTCTCCCTCAAGAGAAATAAGTCTAGAGGACGGTGATCCTTGTAGCAACACTTTTTTTCCATTTATATCAAATTGCATCTGCATTTGACCAAAATCCCATAAGATAGGTCCTAGTGTGCACAACCACTGGGCCCGCCCCTAGGACAACATCACAACCTTCTAAGGACAGTAAGAAAAAATCAACTTCTACTGTTATGCCTTGCAACGTCAGTGGCAAGTTAGTGGAGCGGCCTAGGCTTGATAATTTTCACCATTAGCAACCACCCCATTGAGTAAACATCCAATTTCAAGCCTAAGACCAGCCATTTTGGCAAGCCCGTGATAAAAAAAATTATGAGTAGAATCGGAGTCAATTAAAACTGTTAGTGGGGTTTTACCGATTCATGACTGTATACGCATGGTTTGCGGAGATTGAACCCCCGCCAGGGCATGTAAAGAGATAGTTGGCGTCTTATCTTCTTCGCAATCATGGTTGTCTTCTTCCACAACCTTTGAAAGCTCTATTTCTTCTTCAACATCAATAAGAAATAATTTTTTACACTTGTGCCCAAACGTGTACTTTTCATCACAGTTGTAGCGTAAGCCCTGTTCTCGTCATTGTTGGAGCTCTGCTTGAGAGAACTTGCATATAGGGATAGTTCGCTCTTGAGTTGTGCCTTTAGTTCCTCAACGGTTGTTGTGCCCCATTATGTGTTGTTCCGACTCAAAGAAGGAATTGTTAAATTAGTTGATCATCTTACTTCTTGGGCCTTAGTCTCATAGGTTCGCGCTAGGCCAATAGCCGTAGTTAAATTCTGTGGATTCTGAACCTATACATTAGCTCGTATCCCCTCCTTCAACCCATTGATAAAGCATTCATCTTCTTGCTTGTCTGTGAGGGTGCCAGCACGAGCTAAAAGCCTCTCAAATTGAGCCTGATAACCAGAAACAGAACTTGTCTACTTTAGCTTGCATAAGTCTCCAAAGAAATCCTCATATTCAGTGGCAGCAAACTGTGCCAACAGGCCCACTTTCATGCTTTCCCAAGTGATCGAGTGCTGTTGGGTTTTGCAACGCTGGTACCACAATTGTGCATCTTTCTTCAAATGATATGCTGTCAGCCTATCTTGATCATCAAGAGCAGTTCCTTGAAATTCAAAGAATTGCTCTGTTCTGCAAATCCATAAAGTTGGATCTTCTGAGCCATCATAACAAGGGAAATCACTTCGCAAGCTTGGGAACCACCATTCCACCTGCATCCCTGACACCACCCTGTCCTCGTGGTCCCCGATTCCTACCGACAGAACCTTCTTCTGACATGTTCAATCGGGAGTTCATTGCTAACACTAATTCTTCCATCTGTTTAATGAGCCTTTCTTGACCTGCACTCAAGCTCTCCACCTGTCCTTCAATCCGTTGAAGTTGTTGATCTTCGGCCATTGCTGGCTCTAATACCAAAATGTCACGACCCCGTCCTTTACCTTGACCCCGTCCTTGACCTTGAGCTATGTTGCTGATCAAGATTTAATCAAAAGAAATAAAAAAAGGGACAGTGTACTTTAAGGAACAAGTTTTGGAATTTTCTCTGATATCTATATTACTCATGATCTGTAGAGTTTATAAACTTACAAACATAAGCACAACTCAGCATCAGATACCCACTAATAGCAACTAAATAGCTATCAGATACCCAACTAAATAACTAATGAGTGGATGGCTAAAGAATAGCTCAAAATATAGCTAAACTATAGCCCACTATTATAACTACATGTTGACCAACTCTACTTAAAGAAATAAAACATTTGACTGACTCTACTTACGATATATACAAGATGACTTAACAAGTAAAATAATGGAAATCTAAGGACCATAATGCAGACACGTAACAAATTGCTTCTATCTGTACAACCAGAATTAGACTAGTAACATATTTGCAGAAGGGTTTTGATTGCAAAGAAGTAGAGGGTAGAGACAACTATATTGAAAAGAGGGTCGGGCTGACTTTTGGATTTTGGCGGATGTGGTAGTTTCTAATGTGTTATAATAAAGTTTTGATTTATGAATCCAATTAAAGCATTAGAATCTTTTATTAATTAGTTGAAGTATCTAATATAGCATTATTGTAGAACATTCTTTCTGTTATTTAATAAAATCATGTATATTTACCAATGCCGCTTCTTGTTTATATTTTTAATAAACATCATCTTCATTGTTTTGTTTCTTATAATTAGTGCTTTATATTGGGAGGTAATGAAGTCCTCGGCTCTTTGACTGGGATATAAGTAATTTTATAGATTTTATAAAGTGGGATAGTGTTTACAGATTTTGAATTATGTCAACAATATTTAAACAGCATGTGGGTATGGCGACTTCTGGTAAAAGTTTTACGATTGTAATCATTTAACGCCACACACATACAATTCACAAAAATTAGATGCATGTAAAAGGATGAGTGTTCAGACTAAAATTAGAAATAAAAAAGGAAAATGAATATGCAGAGTTGCTAGCCATGTAACAGTTTGAGAATTGATTATATGTTTCGCAAACAACAATCCTCAAGCCACTGATACCATCGAACTTTGAAAAGTTAGCAAAAGACTCTGTTCATTACGTTGAAGTGTAGCTTATGAATATTCAATAGTCATTTGAAAGACGTAAGTTAGGTCTTAGGAATTGTGGACAAGGTGTATGTATGTACATACATTCACTGACTCATCATACATATGTGACTCACGTGTGTACATGTTACTCTAGTTTTATGATATTATGTGTTATTACATGTTTCAAGTCTCATGCTTTAATTTCGAAGTTCTTACCGTGTAGCACAACTGATATTTTCCTATTTTGTTTGTATGTATGTAGTGCTCAGGCAGGACCGATAACTTGTGGAAAACCAATATTGAGATCCACTGTGCCTGCTCTCTGTACGGTCCACTTTCAAAAGGCCCAGAAACATGTCACTAGGGCTCTGAAGAAAGCAGGTCTTAATGTTTCCTCTTCAAGCAAGCTTGCCCCAAAGTTCCATGTCATAGTGGCAGAATACATACGTCAAATTCAAGCCTGAAGAAGAAATGCTCTAAATAAAAATAATACTAAAGTTGTTATTAAAGAAGAAACTTAAATGAGCCTCCTGGCTGGCGGTCGCAGACATGACTCAAGGTCCATGAGTGCTGGTGTAAATTGATGCAAAAAACCAAGGTGAGTTATTCAATTTGTGATTTCCTTCTGGTCTGAGACATTTAAAAATCCGCCAAACTCGAAACACATTTGTTACATTTGTGAAATTAATTGGATCTAGGTGGGATTTAATGGAAATAAGCAAATTCATGATTTTCCTAATTAGATTTTAAGGGGAAAATTTTCATATGCCTTCTGATGTTCTCTTCATGTAGTGTTTATGTACAATCAAAATGTCAAAGCTTTGATTTATTTTATTTTTCCATTATGCACTTTAGTCTTTACCATAAATGTTTAAGAAAATCTTCCTTGCTTTGTGAGGAGTTAACTTGGAAACAAAAGAAAATTGTTAAGTTTTCCTCAAAAGTTGTGATAAAAGAATGAAGATATTCACTTTGAGAGAAAGGGAGTACTTCCAAAAACGAGAAAATAGTTTAGACAGTACAGTTTGTTACTTAACATATAACTTAGGTGGAAATTACCCAGAATGCTGAATTTATTTTATTCAGACATTAGTTATATAGACATCCAAAAAAAAAAATCTAGTCATGACTATCATATTTGGTGCTTCCTTGGGTACCAAATTACAAACAATCTACTCGTGTCATTTAAACTATTCCATCAAGTATTGGTTCAATATGGTACATACTTTACTTAGCTCCATAGGCCGCATTTGGAGTGCCTTAAAGACACTATTTTTCTGCTTCGATGCTGTAATTTGCAAATGATTTTAGGTATCATTATCACATCTCATTTCAATTTGCTAGAGAGTTGTACTGCAAGGGGTATTGGCAAATATGTAGGCTATAGTTCATCAGGTGTACGTCATAATGTTTGTGCAAATGTAATAAAACCAGCCCTATGTTTACACATTGGCTCACTTATCGGAACCCACTCCCAAATTGATAGGAATTGGGTTAAGCAGTGGTCTTTTTGTGGGCTTGGGTATAATTCTACTTTGAAAACCTGCTTGCCAAAGGAGAGTGCTCAACTCCTTATAAACTATATGCTCACCCCTTTTCCCTCTCAATGTGGAATCCTAACACTCACATTTAAATATTGGAGTGCAAACATTGTTTTGACGTGCTTTCTAGGTAATTGAATTTTGAAGTTACAACACAAGGGTTAGGAGATGCAATAGAATGTGTAGAATTTCAATATTATTCTGAATCTTTGTAAGGTTAAGAGGATTCAGTATATATTGCAATTCATAATAGTTTGATTCTTGCCTACAGTGTTAAATATAGAATAGCTTGTTCTGTGGAATGATTTGGGTCTATTTGTTGAGGTTTTCAGCCTTCTTTTATTCCTAGAGTTAATGGGTTTTAGTCTTGTTAAACTTTCTAACTTCCTTTTGGTTTTCTTCATTTTACTTGTATTTTTTCTTAATAAAACAACTCATTGATACTTAGAAATTAAAATAGAGTAATATTAGGTCCATAATCCAATCTCATAATCTTCTTTCACAATCTCCGATGTGTTAGTTCGTCATTGGTTAGTTTTCAAATGGGCAGACGAGACCCATACAAGCAGGTGAGACCCATTTTGTGAGTTGACCAATGACGGGTTGCTACGTTGAGAGTTGTGAGATTGAATTGTGGACCTAGCATTACTTATTCAAATGAAAAGAAAAAAAGAACATAAAAGCTTCAGAAGGTTATGTAAAATATCCTATTTTCCTCTTTTAGAACATGAGAAAGGAAGAGTGTTGATGACAAAGCAATTCTTGTGTGACATTAAAATGTAATGGATTTTGTTTGAGAATAGGGATAAGAGGGACGAGATGCAACATTGATTGTTGGTTTTATGGGAGAAACAGTGGAGCCTGACAGTGTAATGGATGCAAAGAAAGGAAAGTGATTTGATTGTTTGATTTGAAATTGGGAAAAAGAAAAAAGTAAAAGGTTATTTGGTGTTCTGTATGATGGTTGCTGCTTGCAGAAATGATATAATGTAGTAATTCTTCCTGTACATCTTTTTTAAATATATACCTATGATTAATAAAATTTGATCTTAGGGGAATTGGAGTCAGAAAGATATTTAAATTCCGGATGTCTAGAGTAGAGAATGCCTGACTATTTTTGCATGAACTATCTTGAAACTTATGTCATTATATAGAAGAAGAAACTCGCTTGGTGGGTTTTGTACTTGCATTAATTCTAGAAATGCTATTTATTGCTAAATACTTTAGTAACATGGTTGAATTGAATGAATTCAAGGGTCATGTTTTTGCAAGAAGTTAATTGGGTCATGTTTTATCCAAGTTGAACCGAAACAACTAATGACTGTTCATTTGCTCTGATTTTTCAGGTGTTGACGTTTGAGTATCAGTATAAGGCCACCACATACTGGCATATATATATATATATATAGTAACCCACATATATATGCCAGCATGGTGTGTATCTACAATTATGTGAGATTATGACATCTTTTATGCTTCTACTTCACGCATTTGGCTTGCCTACTAGGCGGGGATAAACTCGGCCAAATTTCCGGCAACCCTGCTGTTTAGCCTTTGAAAGCTGAATCTCGGTGTTATTAGCTCTAAGCCTATATATATATATATATTGATGTATTATGGAAACTTTGATATGCCATGCCTTTGTATAATTACTAGAGCTTGTAAAGCAGCTGTTAAAACAACTCTTAAATCTTAATAGTTTGTGAAAATTTGAGTGTTGGTGTATGGACTTGTATTATCTACTGTAACATGATGCATTATCTACTGTAACATGATGCAAACACGACACGAATATTTGTTAGATGTAATTTAAATTTAAATTTTAGATAAGTGTTGTAGAGAGAAAATGGGTGCAAAAAGTAGTTTAGATTCATATATTGGTGTGTAACTTGGATATTAACCCTAAGTTCGCTCTCACACATTTTCATCTCTCTTAAATCTCAAATTTGTTCACATAATCAAAACAATTCATGTTAGTTCATGGACTATAACAATACTAACCACTCAAATAAAGTAAACAAGAGGACATTCTGTTAGAATTTTAATTATTTTAGAATTCTTTAATTGTGATTGGTCCTACACTTTTAATATAAAGTGAATGGGTAACTGCTAATATGGATTATAATAAAAGTTTCATGTGGTTGTCATTGTTTTAAAACCCGGACTGGAGGGTAAACCGTTTTGTTGTCCGGGTCACGGTTCAATCGGTCCAACCGGTTGGACCGGTCAGTTGGACCGGTGACGTCAGCAATATTTTATTTTTAAAAAATTACATATTAACCCCTTAAATCTTAATATATTACAAAAATTTCCCTAAAAAAGTTTAATTGGTCCCTAAAATTTTTATTTATTCCAAAAATACCCCAATAAAATTACCAATTAATCCCTAAACATTTGATATATCTTCAAAATACCCCTATAAAATTACAAAGTAACCCTCATAATTTTAAAATATTTCAAAAACCCCCCTGAGACCTAAACCGGACCGGAGAAGTTACCGGTTCACGGTCCAACCGGTCCGACCGGCCGGTCCGGTCCGGTTTTTAAAACAGAGGTGGTTGTGTCTCTTGGATAGTTGTCTTTGATAGAAAGACAACTGTATTTATAAAGAAGATTTTATAGGTCCACATTTGACGCAATTAATTCATTTATTCCCAAAAACCATCGCTCTGAAAAATTGCAGTCAGTGTAAGACTTTGTATTCTGAAGTGACTGAAGCAAGAAGACTAAAACAACAATTGATATGGCTGGAGGTTTGTAAATTACTTTCGCAATATTCCATGAGTATTTAACATATTTATAATTGATTATATTATGAACTTTTATATGAATGTTAGAATATAAATGTTTTACATTTGGTATTAGAGCCTTTATTTGAATCTCTGCCTAGCATGAAATTGATTGTTGCAAATTTGGATAATATTGCATAAAATTGGGATTTTTCCAATTAAAACCCGTACTGTAAATCAAGCATAACTTTTATTATAAATAGAATCTATTTTCGATTTTGGTGTCATTGGAATCCTTGTTGAAAAAGCTTTCCAAAGATATATTATTTGTTAAGAACGGAGTTATAGTTGCAAAGTTATGTTAGTTTAAAGTTTTTGTTAAAAATTGTCGTTTGGGTGTTTTTGGTAGCCATTTATGGCACCGATTTGGGATGAAAATGTCATTTAGGATGTCATCGACATAGGTCATACGTCCACATTCAAGTTTCTCCTCTAAAACGTCGAAAAAATGGCCAGAATTGGGCTGTTAAAATCTGCAAAACAATGGGTTAAAAGTTGCAGAAAACGGGTTAAGAAGAACCGGCCCAATTGGGTAAACGGGTCAAATCGACCCAATCAAGGATAAACGAGTCAAACTGACCGATCAAAGGTCAAAACGGATCAAACCAACCCAGAAACCTGATGGGTGTACCCGACCTAGTCAAGATGGTTAATGACTCAAACCGGGTCAACGAACTGGTCAACGAGTCAGTCAGGTCAACAAACCAGTCAACGAGTCAAATCAGATCAAATGGGTCAAATCGGGTCAACGAACTGAGTAAAAGGTCCTGGTCAAATTGGTCAAACATACCCATGTTGACTTATGGCGCGCGTGCTTGCGTCAGGCACATGGAGGTGGTGTGTTTTGGCGCGTGTTGCCTTCTCAGGGCGCATGGGGATACGTGGCTGCGCTTGGTTTAGTCACGATGGCGCGTGGGAGTCGGTGACAACGCGTATGATGGTTTTTATGTGATATATTACTTTGTTAGGCATAACTAATGTGTTATTCTTGAAGTGATTTATGTTATGTTGTATTATATGCAATAATTCATGTTATAATTATTTGGTGTTTTATGATCGTATATATTTGATTAATTTAGTGTAGCCACAACATCTAAGTTATAATAATATATGCATTAAGTAATATTAATTATGATCATATTAAAGTTAATAACATCGTTTTGTAATTAATCATATTAATATAATCATTTTACTCACAGGGAGTGTTATATTTTCATGATTAATTAGGGATGAAATAGAAATTATTCTTGTTTCTTAATTAGCCCACAAGTATTATGAAATATTAATAATTTTTATTTTCATCGTTAAAGGATAATGAATCATAATATGTAATGTCTTTACCCACGAGAGATTTTATGATATGTCGATTCATTTATGATTTATTATTTGTTTTACATTGGTAAACTTATAATTGTTGTTGATGGTTTGTGCCTTATAATTTATTTAGTAAGCATGTATGTTGATATACCTATAGTTGATCAAACTTTGATAATGGTTGAGGATAAGGTTTTTTATTTAAATGGTGATAACTACAAATCCTGGAGGGAGGTTGTCCTTCTTCATTTAGGGTGCATTGATCTTAACTATGCTCTTCGTAAAGAAGAGCCACCTACACCTACATATACTAGTTCTCAGGCTGAGATTGCTTTGTATGAACGATGGGAGTGATCCAACCATTTAAGCATGATATTTATCAAATCTCACATTACGAGTAGTATTCGTGGGTCGATACCGGAGTGTGAAAATGTCAAGGATCTGATGGATGCAATTCATGCTCAGTTTGAAACATCAGACAAGGCATTAGGTAGCATCTAAATGAGTAGATTGACATCCATGAAACTCACTGGTATTAAAGGAGTTTGTGAGCATATTATGAAAATAAGGGACATCGCTGCTCAGTTAAGATCCCTTCAGATGGTGATTAATGATGATTTCCTGGTGCATTATGTCCTAAACTCTCTCTCATCTCATTGTACTCCTTTCAAGATATCTTATAACATACAAAAGGATAAATGGTCAATCAATGAGCTTTTGACCATGTGTGTTCAAGAGGAGGAGAGACTGCTTTAGGAAGTGAATGAAACTGCACACCTGGTGATAGGAAATGTCAAGTACACTTCAAACAAGAATAAGAAGTGGAAGGGAAAAGGCAAGCTGCATGAGGTTACAAGAAAAGGAAATAAGGACAACATCAAGTGTTTCTTCTATAAAAAGAAGGGACACGTGAAGATGGATTGTCCTAAAAGAAAGGTCTGGCTTGACAAGAAAGGTAACCTCATATCTCTTGTGTGTTATGAATCTAATATGATTTGTGTTTCACATAATGATTGGTGGATTGATTCTGGTTCTACAATCCATGTTTCTAATACCATACAAGGTTTTCTGGATCAAAGGAAACCGTTGGGAAGTGAATGCAGCATCTATTCGGGAAATAGGATGCCTTCACGTGTTGAAGTTGTTGGAACATTTAGACTTATTTTAAGCACTAATTATATTTTGGATTTGGAAAAAACCTTTTATATTCCTAGTTTTTCTAGGAATTTAATTTCAGTTTCTAAACTTGTACCTTGTGGATACTCTTTCAACTTTTATGGTAGTTCTTTTAATTTAATTAAGAACTCATCTATTGTTGGAAATGGTACTAAAATTCATTTAAGTGATGTTGTTCCTTCACATGATAGTATTGGTATTAAACGTACTGTTATGAATGTAAACTCTTCTTTTTTGTGGCATAGGAGATTATGACACATCTCCATTGATAGGATTAAAAGGTTGGTAAATGCTGGAGTTCTTGAAGCTCTTGACTATACTGACTTTGATACTTGTGTAGACTGCATTAAGGGAAAACAGACTAACAAATCCAAGAAGGGTGTCAGGAAGAGTTCTGAACTTTTAGAGATCATACACACATATATTTGTTGCCCTGACATAAGCTCTAGTGGTTAGAAATATTTCATCACCTTTATTGATGATCACTCACGATATATGTATCTCTATTTGCTTTATCACAAGGATGAAGCGTTGGATGCTTTCAAAATATATAAAGTAGAAGTAGAGAAACAATGTGGAAAACAAATTAAGATCGTGAGATCTGATAGAGGTGGTAAATATTATGGTAGATACACTGGTACAAGACAAACACTTGGTTCATTTGCTAAATTTCTTCAAGAGTAAGGTATTGTAGCTCAATACACCTTACTTGGCACATCATCTCAGAATGGTGTAGCAGAACGGAGAAATAAAACATTAATGGATATGGTACGGAGTATGTTAAGTAACTCCAAACTTCCTAATTCTTTGTGGATTGAAGCTCTCAAAACTGCAACGTATATATTAAACCGAGTTCTAACTAAGGCGGTTCCCAAAATGCCATTCGAGTTATGGAAAGGTTGGAAACCAAGTTTAAGTCATTTATGCGTCTGGGGTTGCCCAGTTGAAGTTAGAGTTTATAATTCACAAGACGGAAGTTAGATCCTATGACTATTAGTGCATATTTTATTGGATATGCGGAAAAA